GATGCGACGTTTGCGACGGATTTTTATGTGAAATCACGTTTCTTTTGCAAAAGTTATGAGCGGTATTGTAATTTCTGCGATATTTTTTTCCAGCTCTTTGTGGAGCTGGATCAGCTGTTTGCGCTAATGGTGGGATGACAAATCCAAACAACTGTGCGGGGTGCGTATGTCCAGGAGGATATGGCGGAACTCTTTGCAATCAAAGAGTATGTAACCTAATTTAAGCCGTTAGTCTACAACGTAGTTATGCGTTGTACTTCCTTCTGTAAATTCAGCTTGCAATTTTTTTTTCATTTTATTACAGCCAGCAGGCTGTGGGGAAACATTAGCAGCGACTGATCGATGGCAAGTAGAGAGGTTCACTTTTGGGAATGCACAAATTGCTACACTTCGCGATACTTTTGTGACATGCAATTACTGGATTACGGTATCCTTAATACTAACGGTTGGAGTCAATCCTTGTTGCTCAATTATCATCCATGACAGGCACCACTTGGAAGGCAGATTCAAGTTCGTGTGACTTGGATGGAAGAACCAAAGTGCGGTACCGGCTGCAGAGTCAACTCTATTGAACCTAAGTTCAAAGCCGATCAGAGGGCTACCAATCCCAGGTAATCGTTAAAAAGATATCATTGGTGTTTTTGGAAGATACAGATTGTTGTTTAGGATTTGCTGCAACGATATGCTAAATTATGTTCGTACAAGCGAGCTCAATCCTACTCCCATAATCGCTTACAATAGACTTTCGACCTCGACATTCACCTTCCACTATAGATACATATGATTATGTTATTGTACATGGATATCACAAAAATATATCTTCCAATCAGATTTTGCAACCTCACTGTACTGTGAATGGCTGACGAAAACGCGCTTTCTAAGGACAAAGATTAACAACGAATATTTTCACAAGAAAGTATCAAGAGTCAAAGGACGGGATTTTAAAAGTTATATATTTAAAATTAACTTCCCAGTTGATGGTAGCTCGGTGTATTATGGGT